GCATCTTTTGAAATTTATGTGAAATTGGCAAAACTGCAAAATTCTGACCACTTTATTGGATAGTTGAAATCGGTAAATGGGAAGTTTCTTGTACTCATTCGATAGAAAAAATGGAGTTTTAGCGGAATAGTTACGATTTTTGTCGACTAGTACACTGGAATTGTCCGAAAACAGGGCTCAAGGTGGGCAAAATCGCCGATGCGTAAACATCGTTGAGACGGCTAACTTCGCGAGAGCATAATTCCATAAGTTTTCCATCAAATTTAATACTTTTGGTGTCATTATGATCGGGAAAAGTCTCTCTATCTTTTCATAAGAAAAAAATTTTTTTTTTTTTTTTTTGAAATTTGGCCGACCCTGAGAACAATTCTCTGAGAGGACCTGTCGACCCCCAAAGGGTTAAGGGTTAATAAGGCTACATGTAACCTAGGCACTACCAGTCTGGTATAAACCTTGGTAATAAATACTGACAAGTTAGTTTAGAAAAACACGTATGGATAGTTGAAAGCAAAAGTTGTAAGCAAAAGACTTGGCAGACGATGCACCATCCCCCCAATGAAAAGCAGGGGTGTCACTAGCACGTTAAGAGACCATACAATAAGTGTCAGGGGCCCGAGACTGTTCAACTGCCTCCCAGCACACATAAGGGGGATTACCAACAGACCCCTGGCAGTCTTCAAGCTGGCACTGGACAAGCACCTAAAGTCAGTTCCGGATCAGCCAGGCTGTGGCTCGTATGTTGGTTTGCGTGCAGCCAGCAGCAACAGCCTGGTTGATCAGGCTCTGATCCACCAGGAGGCCTGGTCACAGACCGGGCCGCGGGGGCGTTGACCCCCGGAACTCTCTCCAGGTAAACTCCAGGTATGTATGCTGGGAGGCAGTTGAACAGTCTCGGGCCCCTGACACTTATTGTATGGTCTCTTAACGTGCTAGTGACACCCCTGCTTTTCATTGGGGGGATGGTGCATCGTCTGCCAAGTCTTTTGCTTTCGTAGTCAGTGATTTTCGTGTGCAAGTTCGGTACTAGTCCCTCTAGGATTTTCCAGGTGTATATAATCATGTATCTCTCCCTCCTGCGTTCCAGGGAATACAGGTTTAGGAACCTCAAGCGCTCCCAATAATTGAGGTGTTTTATCTCCGTTATGCGAGCCGTGAAAGTTCTCTGTACATTTTCTAGGTCGGCAATTTCACCTGCCTTGAAAGGTGCTGTTAGTGTGCAGCAATATTCCAGCCTAGATAGAACAAGTGACCTGAAGAGTGTCATCATGGGCTTGGCCTCCCTAGTTTTGAAGGTTCTCATTATCCATCCTGTCATTTTTCTAGCACATGCGATTGATACAATGTTATGGTCCTTGAAGGTGAGATCCTCCGACATGATCACTCCCAGGTCTTTGACGTTGGTGTTTCGCTCTATTTTGTGGCCAGAATTTGTTTTGTACTCTGATGAAGATTTAATTTCCTCATGTTTACCATATCTGAGTAATTGAAATTTCTCATCGTTGAACTCCATATTGTTTTCTGCAGCCCACTGAAAGATTTGGTTGATGTCCGCCTGGAGCTTTGCAGTGTCTGCAATGGAAGACACTGTCATGCAGATTCGGGTGTCATCTGCAAAGGAAGACACGGTGCTGTGGCTGACATCCTTGTCTATGTCGGATATGAGGATGAGGAACAAGATGGGAGCGAGTACTGTGCCTTGTGGAACAGAGCTTTTCACTGTAGCTGCCTCGGACTTTACTCTGTTGACGACTACTCTCTGTGTTCTGTTAGTGAGGAAATTATAGATCCATCGACTGACTTTTCCTGTTATTCCTTTAGCACGCATTTTGTGCGCTATTACGCCATGGTCACACTTGTCGAAGGCTTTTGCAAAGTCTGTATACAGTGGACCCCCGCATAACGATGGCATCACATAGCGATTATTTCGCATACCGCTTACTTTAATTGCAAAAATTTTGCCTCACATACCGCTTAAAAACCCGCTTACCGATTTTCTTCCGAGACGCGCTCACATGTTCCGCCGGTGGCATTGTTTACCAGCCAGCCTCCGCGGTAACATCCAAGCATACAATCGGAATATTTCGTATTATTACAGTGTTTTCAGTGCTGTTTCTGGAAAATAAGTGACCATGGGCCCCAAGAAAGCTTCTAGTGCCAACCCTGTGGTAAAAAGGGTGAGAATTAGTATGGAAATTAAGAAAGATTTTGAAGGGTTTGGGGCTAACCCTGAGAAGCCTATGCCAGTTGTGGAATCCATTGTGCCTACTTCAAAAATTAAGGAAATGTGTGCACAGTGGGTTGAACTGCAAACCTTTATGGATGAAAATCACCCTGACACAGCTGTTGCAAGCCGTGCTGGTGACTATTTCAATGACAATGTTGTGGCCCATTTTAGACAAATCGTAAAGGAACGGGAGGTACAGAGCTCTATGGACAGATTTGTTGTGCGACAGAGGTCCAGTGACTCTCAAGCTGGTCCTAGTGGCATTAAAAGAAGAAGGGAAGTAACCCCGGAAAAGGACTTGCTACCTCAAGTCCTAATGGAAGGGGATTCCCCTTCTAAACAGTAAGAAGATAATGCTCTCCCCTCCTCCCATCCCATCAATCATCACCAGATCTTCAATAAAAGTAAGTGTCATGTAAGTGTGCATGCCTTTTTCAGTTTGTGTGTATTAAAATTAACATTTCATGTGGTAAAAAAATTTTTTTTTCATACTTTTGGGTGTCTTGCACGGATTAATTTTATTTCCATTATTTCTTATGGGGAAAATTCATTCACATAACGATTATTTCGCATAACAATTACCCCTCTTGCACGGATTAAAATCGTTAACCGGGGGTCCACTGTATATTACATCTGCATTCTTTTTGTCTTCTAGTGCATTTAGGACCTTGTCGTAGTGATCCAATAGTTGAGACAGACAGGAGCGACCTGTTCTAAACCCATGTTGCCCTGGGTTGTGTAACTAATGGGTTTCTAGATGGGTGGTGATCTTGCTTCTTAGGACCCTTTCAAAGATTTTTATGATATGGGATGTTAATGCTATTGGTCTGTAGTTCTTTGCTGTTGCTTTACTGCCCCCTTTGTGGAGTGGGGCTATGTCTGTTGTTTTTAGTAACTGTGGGACGACCCCCGTGTCCATGCTCCCTCTCCATAGGATGGAAAAGGCTCGTGATAGGGGCTCGTGAAGGGGGATTACCAACAGACCCCTGGCAGTCTTCAAGCTGGCACTGGATAAGCACCTAAAGTCGGTTCCTGACCAGCCGGGCTGTGGCTCGTACGTTGGTTTGCGTGCAGCCAGCAGCAACAGCCTGGTTGATCAGGCTCTGATCCACCAGGAGGCCTGGTCACAGACCGGGCCGCGGGGGCGTTGACCCCCGGAACTCTCTCCAGGTAAACACTCCAGGTATGCAAACACTAGGACATATTTATTAGAAAATGTTTCAGTACTAGGACCTTGATCAAGGCCCTAGGACTGAAACTTTTCTAATAAATATGTCCTAGTGTTTGTTTACGTGTTTTTCTAAACCATCTACCAGTCTAGAATACTTTCATCCCTGAATTAAGGATTAAAGTCAGCTCAGCATATACACACTAAGAGCTATATATCTCTCAGTGTATATAAAACTCAGTTAAAAAATAAGAAAAACAAATACATACCAAATATAAGAATATACAGTACAGTGGACCCCCGGTATTCGATATTAATCTGTTCCTGAGAGCTCATCGAATACCGATAATATCAAAAACTGAATCAATTTTCCTCATAAGAAATAATGGAAATCAAATTAATCCATGCAAGACACCCAAAAGTATGAAGAAAAAAATTTTTACTACATGAAATATTAAGTTTAATGCAATAGAATAATTACAATAACAATAAAATAATTGACACTTACCTTTAATGAAGATCTGGTGATGATTGATGGGATGGGAGGAGGGGAGAGGTGTTAGTGTTTAGAAGGGGAATCCCCTTCCATTAGGACTTGAGGTAGCAAGTCCTTTTCTGGGGTTACTCCCCTTCTTCTTTTAATGCCACAAGGACCAGCTTGAGAGTCACTGGACTTCTGTCGCACAACATAACTGGCAGCCTCACCATGCCTAATCACACTATGTATGCCACTACAATTCTTAAATCTTTCAAACCAACCTTTCTTGGCCTTAAATTCACTCACATCACCACTAGTTGCAGGCAATTTCTTTACCAAATCGTCATGCAACTGCCTAGCCTTTTTACAAATGATCGCTTGAGAGATGCTATCTCCTGCTATCTGTTTTTCATTTATCCACACCAATAACAATCTCTCAACATTTTCTAACACTTGCGGTCGCTGTTTCGTAATCACAGTTGCACCTTTTGCAAGAACAGCTTCCTTGATTGCCGTTTTCCTGGGGTTTATTATACAACCTGACCAGCTTTGACACACGCACTCCACTTTCGTACTTTGCAATTATCTCTTTCTTCATTTCGTAAGTCATTAGCGACTTTTTTCTCGAAGGGTTGGCACTAGAAGCTTTCTTGGGGCCCATGGTGACTTATTTTGCAGAAACAAGCACCAAACACAGTGATAATATGGAATGTACCAAATGTATCCTTAGATGCGCGCACACTGGCTGGCTTGTAAACACTAGCACACACGGGGCAGTTCCGGCCACACGTGGACAGGTCTCGTACGAATCGTATCAAATACCGGGTTTTCAATCGAATACCGAGGAAAAAAATTTGCGTTAAAATACATCGAAAACCGGATTTATCGAATACCGATGCCATCGAATACCGGGGGTCCACTGTATAACATACATTAAGTCATTAGAGTATAACCCTTTTGCTGTATAAACTGAATACCTCCAGCTTAATATATACCTCCAGCTCAATATATTTTAGGTAAATTAAAAATGTTCTGAAATATAATTAATATTCTCTTTCAAGGTGCATTTTGTCATCATCTTGGCAAATACCTCTGCATTAATAGAAACTCAAGAATGAAAATTTACAGACCTAGAGCTCTGGTTGCAAAGTTGACCATTGCAGACTGGAGACGGTCAGGACGTAATGCCTGAATAAGAAGCAGATGCTGGAACCCAGAAAGCTTTTGACCGAGCTGAACTGGTAAATCACGTCTCACAATGGCTGGATCTAGCAAAGCCTGACCACATCGACAAATCATCCAGATGCAGCATCTCATACATGGTTGGGAAAGTTTGCTGTTATGTAAAGATGTTAATCCACATTAGTATTATACAAAAACTTAAATGCATTTTCATGAGATTTATAGTAGCATACAGGTCCCCAACTTATAACATTAATGTGCTCCCAAAGGCTTACTGTAATATAGGAAGGCCCCAACTTATGACATTTATGTGTTCCAAAAAACTTACTGTAAGTTGAATGTTTAGTATATGGAAGTTATTTTTCCATAAGAACCCATGTTATATGGATTAATGTGTTCCTTAGCTATAATTTTCCATATCTGATTTAATTTATTTTCTTTTCCCCAAGAATTGCTATCAAATATTTTACCTTTAATGTGCCTTTTCATTTTCAGATACTCTACAACAAAACTATTTCTATGATATGTACATATTAAGCAATAAAATAATACAAATAAATATTTTAAAATACATTGTGTAAAGTATTTACCTTGACTGTTAATCCTGTCTTGCTCACTGGAAGAAATGTTTATTGCTTATTTTGGATTTGTAAGTAGACCCCACTGTCAGAAGCATGAGTCCCTAGTGCCAATGTCTGAAAAACCTTACCTTGACCATCATCAATTGAGGCCCTACCGTACTGAATTTGCTGGCCAACTGGAACCCTTTTTTTCCCTTAAAATACCTTAAAATATCACCCTTCTTCCAAGTGGTTGAATATTTGCCTTTTCACTTTATGCTAAACGAACTTGCTGATCACAATGATGGTCTTCGTTTACTTTTGGTCAGTACTAGCATTTGTTGATGACAGACAACAAAATAGATATGATGAGCTTATTCCCATCACAATACTGTACTGTTTCCATATACTGTAGTAATGTCCACCACTATCACTTGTAGCATGTGCCTGAGAGTATGGCATAGGAAGGGTAATTACTATGTGCCCAGGCTATAGTGGGAAAAGGAGGGTAATGGTTAGGGTAGCAAGTAAATGGATGTGACAAGAAGGGCAATGGTAAAAATAGCAAGTAACTGGGTGTAACAAGAAGGGGTTGCAATGTTGGCTAGCACATGCCTGAACCATTATGTGGAAGGAGAACAGTGGTGGGTGTAGCAGCTACTTGGGAGTGTGGCAGGGCAGGCTGCAGTGTGAGTAACCTTGTCTGAATAGCAGTATGTCAATCTTTATAATGTACAGGCCTCACCACTCTCTTAACCTTTTCCAAAGTCTCCATATATTCCACCCTTTTTATATCACTTTTGTAAAAACCTACAATATGCAAACTTTTTCTCCCCTACCACTTTCTTTACCTCATCATTCCACCAATCACTTCTCTTCCTTCCCACACTCACTCTCCTATATTCACAAACTTCTGCTGCACACTAACACTGCATTCTTAAATCTACCCCATACCTCTTCAACCTCCTCATTACTCTCACCAGCCTTTCTCCCAACAGTTGCTTATATCTTATCCTAACTACCTCCTCCTTTGGTTCAGAAATTTTCCCCTCTCTCTCTTACTTGCTCATGCTATTCTCCTTGTGCCCCATCTACTTCTTACTCTCACTGCTGCTGCAACTAAATAATGATCTGATATATTTCTTGCCCCACCCCCTCTAAGAACATGCACATCTATAAGTCTGGAGTATACCTGGAGAGGGTTTCGAGGGTCAATGCCCTCACAGCCTAGTCTGTGACCAGGCCTTATGATGGCTGTTACTGTTGGCTGCACACAACCCAACGTATGAACCATAGCCTGGCTGGTCTGGTACTGACTTTAGGTGCCTGTCCAGCACCTTCCTGAAGACAGCCAGAGGTCTACTGGTAATCCCCCTTATGTATGCTAGGAGGCAGTTGAACAGCCTTGGGCCCCTGACACTTATTGTGTTAGGGGGAAATGCAATTAATCCGTTCCAGACACCCAATAGTATGAAAAAAAAAAAAATTTGCACATGAAATATACATGATACATGCACAACAAATACTACATGAAGAATAAATGACACTTACCTTTATTGAAGATTTATTGATGAGTGATCAGATGGGAGGAGGGGAGATGGAGGTGTATTATTTTTTGGAAGGGGAATCCCCTTCCATAAGGACTTAAGGTACCAAGTCCTTTTCCGGGATTACTTCCCTTCTTTTTTTAATGCCACTGGGAACAACTTGACAGTCACTGGACCTCTGTCGCACCAAAAATCTGTCCATAGAGTTCTGTATCTGGTGTTCCTTTAAGATTTTCCTAAAATGGGCCACAACATTGTCATTGTAAGTCACCAGCATGGCTTGCAATAGCTGTGTCAGGGTGATGTTCTTCCATAAAGGCTTGCACCTTTGTCCACATTGTACAAATGTCCTTAATTGTTGAAGAAGGCAACTTCCTCCATCTCTCTCTCCCCTCTGAAGCAGTTTCCTCAGTTGTGGCCTCTTGCTGTTGCAGATGCTCTTGCAGCTCATCAGTGGCTAGTTCTTCATCGTCGTCCTCCACCAACTCTTCCACATCCTCCCCACTAACCTCCAACCCCATGGACTTCCCCAATGACACAATATATTCCACAACTGGTGTAGGCTCCTCAGGATTAGCCCCAAACCCTTCAAAAATCCCTCTCTTGCACACATTGTGGCCACAATTTCCTCCAAGCAGAGTTTAAGGCCCTGTTAGTCACTTCCTCCCAAGCCTTACCTATAAGGTTCATGCAACTGAGGATACTAAAGTGATCTTTCCAAAACTCTCTTAGGGTCAATTCAGTGTCTGAGGTCACTTCAAAGCACTTTTGAAACACTGCTTTGGTGTACAGTTTTTTTGAAATTTGAAATGACCTACTGGTCCATGGGCTAGAGGAGAGGAGTGGTATTAGGAGGCAAAAACTTCACTTTGATGAAGCTCAACTCCCCCGCAATTCGCTCTGGCAAGTCTGGAGGATGAGCAGGAGCACTGTCTAATACCAGGAGGCACTTGAGTGACAATTTATTTTCCAGGAGGTATTTTTCACAGTGGGGCCAAACACATGATAGAACCAATCATGGAAAATGTCCCTAGTGACCCATGCCTTACTGTTTGCCCTCCACATCATACACAAATTACAGTGGACCCCCGCATAACTATTACCTCCGAATGCGACCAATTATGTAAGTGTATTTATGTAAGTGCGTTTGTACGTGTATGTTTGGGGGTCTGAAATGGACTAATCTACTTCACAATATTCCTTATGGGAACAAATTTGGTCAGTACTGGCACCTGAACATACTTCTGGAGTGAAAAGATATCGTTAACCGGGGGTCCACTGTAGCCTTGACAACACTGTATTCTTGAACACTCTGGGAGTTTCAGAGTGATACACGAGTAAAGACTCCACTTTGCAATCCTCACTAGCATTACTACAAAACATTAGAGTTAGCCTGTCTTTCACAGGCTTGTGTCCTGGCAGTGCTTTTTCCTCCTATGTAATGTAGGTCTTGTTTGGCATTTTCTTCCAAAGCAGGCCTGTTTTGTCACAATTAAACACTTGTTGAGGTTTTAATTTTTCAGTGTCTATGTACTCCTTGAATTCCTGCACATATTTTTCAGCCGCTTTTTGGTCACAACTGGCAGCCTCACCATGCCTTATCACACTGTGTATGCCACTATGATTCTTAAATCTCTCAAACCAACCCTTTGCTGGCCTTAAATTCATTAACATCACCACTAGTTTCAGGCATTTTCTTAATGAGATCTGCATGCAACTGCCTTGCCTTTTCACATATTACTGACTGAAAAACACTATCTCCTGATAATTGTTTTTCATTTATCCACACCAACAACAGTCTCTCCACATCTTCGAGTATTTGTGATCTCTGTTTTGAAAACATACTTGCACCTTTTGCAACAACAGCTTCCTTGATTGCTTTTCTGTTGGTCAAGATAGTAGCGATGGTTGATTGGGATTTGTTATACAACCTGTCCAGCTCGGAGGCACGCACTCCACTTTCATATTTTGTGATTATCTCTTTCTTCAATTCGACAGTAATTCTCACCCTTTTTTACCACAGGGTTGGCACCAGAAACTTTCTTGGGGCCCATGTTGGCTTATTTAGCAGATACAAGCACTAAAAACAATGGAATAATATAAAATGTATACGTGGAACCGTCTGCACTGGCTTGTAAACAATGGCACACTAGCTGAAGGCAGGGCAGCTGAGGCGCGCTTGGGCTGGACGGACAGGCGGACGCGTTCGGGACGAATGTCCTTATCTGAGTTTTTCATCGTTGGTCGAGCCAATATTTTTACACAAAAACGCATCATTACCTGATTTTATCATTAGTCGTTGCCATCGTTGGTCGAGGGTCCATTATAAATGATTATACAATGATCTTGTTTAAAAATGCTGTGTGATAAATATACTGGCATAGGTTTCTTACATTAATCCTTTCATTGTTGGGCCCGTAATATTATGGCTTGCAAGCCAGTGTCAGTCTTGTAATACTATGCCAAAATTCTAGCAACTTCCAATTTTGCAGGAGAAAGCTGGTAGCCCTAAATATGAGAGAATGGGTCTGAGTGGTCAGTGTGTGCAGTATAAAAAAAAATCCTGCAGCATGCAGTGCATGATGAGACAAAAACTCTGACAGTGTATTCAGTTTAAAACAGAGACTTTGCAGTTTACCTGGAGAGAGTTCCGGGGGTCAACGCCCCCGCAGCCCGGTCTGTGACCAGGGGTCTCGACAGTGAAAAGGTTAACCCCTTGACTGTCGCAACCCAAAATCCTGAGGTGTCTCCTGGTGTTGGGAAAAAAAAAAAAAAAAATCTTATGAAATGATAGAGAATCTTTTCCCGATAGTAATGACACACACAAAAAAGACGAAATTTGATGGAAAACTTATGGAATTGTGCTCTTGCGAAGTTAGTGACCTCAGCGATATTTACGAATTGGCAATTTCGCCCACTTTGAGCCCTATTTTTAGCTAATTCCATTGTTCCAGTCGACCAAACTCATAGCTATTTCTTTAGAACTCCATTTTTTCTATCGATTGAATACAAGAAACTGCCCATTTACTGATTTCAACTACCCAATAACATGGTCAGAAATTTACAATTTGGCCAATTTCATGCAAATTAAAAAATATTCCAATTTCAAAATAGGGTCCAGAATGAACAAAGCAGACATTCCTGGCTCTAAAATAACATTTTCTTTGTTCATCAGTCATGTCTCCAGGCCCCTCTGATATTACTCTTGCTTTCTATTTTGAATTTTTATTCAAACAAAAAATAGAAGATTTACTGTTATGCAGACTACTGCAATACTGTAATAATTGTATAAATAATGCCAATCCATTCATGACTGCATATTAGAATGGCTAGTTGGACATTTATTGGACAATGACATCATTTGTTTACTTTTGAACATCGGCAAAAATCAACATTTCCCCTACTTTGAGCTCCATTTAAAGGATCTTTTCATTGTAAAACCAATCAAAATCACCTCTATTTCTATAATATATTTTCCATTCTATCAAATGAGACCAAGAAAATGAGAATAAAACCATAAATACTATACGAAAATACACCACAAAGTCGGCGTTTTAATCCAAAAACACGGTCGGAGTTTTTTTTTTCTCTTTGTGCACTGCATGCTGCAGGATTTTTTTTATATAGTGCACACTGACCACACAGACCCATTCTCTCACATGTGGGCCTACCAGCTTTCTCCTGCTTGATTTGAAGCCGCTAGAATTTTTTAGTATATATACGTCAAACACGGTGGCTCGTAAGACATATACATATGACTGAAACAGTCAAAGGGTTAATACTGTATAGTAATGAAATATGAATGTATGTATTCTCAGTAACTCTCAACTAACTTTCAATAACGAAATTGCAAATGCACGTTCTTCATCAATCCACTTTGGAAGAGCTTCTTTGACTTCTGTTGCATCAGTTCTAACATCTGTCACCAACTGGCCAATGAAAGCCTCCCATTCCTGAAACAAGTATTTGATTTTCATTTTCATTTTTTTTTTTAGGAAATTTCACCCTAAATAAAATAAAATACGTATAAAAAGAACAAAAACCTAACAACTTATTTGTAGTACTTTGTCTTTCATATAAAATTAGTGATTCATGAAGGCATTCTCAAAAATAGTTATTATGAACAAGTTTTCTTACCTATGAATTCAGTTAATACTGAGAATATGAAATGGAATAATCATGCTCACATTTTCTCTGAAAAGTTCTGGGTACATGCCATGTACGAGGTGTAAGGCAAACATGAGACGATCTGCCTTGAAGAGGGAACGACTAATGTAGCTATATACCAGATCAATCAAGGCTCTCTGCAGTGATTTGATGCGTTGATCTGTACTGCTTCCATCCTACGAATGTTTGAAAAATTATTTAAAAAAAGACAAAAAGTATCAATGTGGTATATGAGTGTTTGATACTATATATCAGTGGGTAACAAACATTCACTAGAATGCTGCTGAAAAATAAATGAAATACTTAAAGTTTGGTGGACACAGAATGTGATAAAAATCTAGTGTATAAAATTCTTACCTGAGGTGTTTGCAAAGCTTTATGGAAAAGATTATGGAAAGCTCCAAGACTGAAGCGATACATATTATTTAGCTTTGAGAGGTCTGATATGACAAAATAAAGATTAGCAGCTGCCTGTGACAGAGGTAAATATGCTTTCCGCTCATTTTCAAGAGATTCTTGGAGAGATCCAGACTCTTTCAGTGAGGATTCAATTGTAGCAGAACTAGATTTGGCTTGCTCTAATGATGCCAATAATTCCTGGGGAAAAAATATATGTTATTCAAAAAGACCTAAAATACAGTGCAGTATTATGTAACTATAGCACTATATGGATAACATGGTAAATTGCTTGAAAAATTATTTTTCTTATCTAAATTTAAAAATAATACTGTAGATTTTTTAGGGATGCTTAATTTTGAGTAAAATTTTACTGATGAAAAATATTTTACATTGAAACAGTTGTATCTTGCCCAGCACTACATTTTTTTTCTTTCAACACAATGGCCGTCTCCCACTGAGGCAGGGCGACACAAAAAAGAAACACTTTCGCCATCATTCAACACTTTCGCCATCATTCAACACTCTCACCATCATTCAAACAATATCACTATTTTTTCAGAGGTGCCCAAATATGACAGTTTAGATGTCACTCCAAATGGCCAATATCCCAAACCCCCTTCTTTAAAGTGCAGACATTATACCTCTCATCTCCAGGACTCAAGTCCCGCTAACCGGTTGCCCTGAATCCCTTCACAAAATATTGCCCTGCTCACGCTCCAACAGCTCGTCAGGTCCCAAAAACCATTCGTCTCCATTCACTCCTATCTAACACACTCACACATGCATGCTGCATGTGTAGGCCCCTTGCACACAAAACCTCTTTCACCCCCTCCCTCCATCCTTTCCTAGGAGGGCCCCTACCCCTCCACTACATATTTATACACCCTCCAAGTAAACCTATTTTGCTCCATCCTATCTAAATGACCAAACCACCTCAATAACCCCTCTGAATAATACTTTTAGCAACTCCACACCTCCTATTTTCCACACTATGAATTCTCTACATAATATGTATACCACACGTTGCCCTTAGACACAACATCTCCACTGCCTTCAGCCTCTTTCTCGCTGCAATATTCACAACCCATGCTTCACACCCATTAAGAGTATTCGTACCACTATACTCTCGTACATTCCCTTCTCTGCCTCCATGGATAACATTTTTTTTATCTCTATAGATACCACAGAATATTGCTAGATATAGTATACAGCATATAAAATTGATTATCTAACTTTGTTTTCCAGGATATTGCCTTGTGATTCAGCAAGAGTTGTCAGGAGATGATCTTCCAAAGTCACCAACTGTATTTTCAGGTCTTCTTCTTGCCGCAGAAGATCAGTTCTCCTTACTTCCAGTTCAGGTTTTTCTACCTGCAGTGTTGCTGCTAAGAGCTAGGGAAACACAAATTTATATTATTTCTATATTTCTGTCTATTAATGTCATGCTATTTTGTGTAACAATCAGTAAAAGAGAGTATGGTTCTTGTGGAACCTTAATCACATTACAACTTTATCTTCAAGAACCAAACAGCAAGATAAGCGTTCATTCACAAAAGCCCTTAATTAAGGTCACTTTTGCAATATCATGTAGACAGACATTAAAAAATGAAGGTTTTAGGAAAAAGAAAGGACTGCATGATAATGAGTCAGAGAAGGTCTGTCAAAAGAATCTTTCACCTGTCCTGTCAATCCAGCACGTGTGGTGGTGAAGTTAATTGAGGTAAGGATGGACATAGCGTTGGGTGGTAGCTCTGGAGCAGGGTTACGGGTTACCAAGAACAACTGGAAGTTTTCATTGTAGTCAAGAATTTTGTCTCCCAGCTCAACGACATACCTAGGGCCTGCAAACGGTCTTGACCTTAACCAGTAAACTTTCCAAACGTAGATCTACGTTCACTCGCTAGCACTCCGAACATAGATCTACATTTTATTTTACTTGCTTTCAAATGTAAAAAAAAGTAGATCTTTGTTTGGAACACTACGCGAGTGAATCTAGATCTACCTTTGGACAGTTTAAGGATTAAATTACACTGTACTTTAGAGATGGACATATGAAAATTAAAACTGTACAATATATTTAATCTTAAAGTTTTTAATACTGTACAAACCTCTAAATATACTACACAGATGCTAGTTAATCAAAACATAGGATACACACATTTATAATACAAATAGATCTCAAAGAGCCTGCTATAGATAGATAGTTAATATCAAAGAGCCTGCTATAGATAGATAGTTAATAAGTGATAATAATGGCAAAAAATAAAGAGAAAAAAAGTAGTAATGAGAGCCATGATCTTCCTGCAAAATCAGATTTTTCAGTCCATGATTATATCTCCAGCAATAAAGTAGAGAGAACAGTGATTTCTTAATTAAAAGTAATTAAAATAAAGGAAGCCAAAATAAACAAGAACACATACATGCACCAAGAAAGTGCAAGCAAGATGCCTCTTCAGACTACTGAATGAGTTCAAAGTGCACTTACCTTGACTGATAAGTTCTCCTCTGAGCAGTGGGAACAGAAGTGGCTCTAACTTATCAACTTCCTGGATAATGAGGGTCTTCCCAAACCTGACACATCAATAAAAATGCAATTAGGCATCATTTTGTTCATGTTTCCCTAAGCCTACATTTACCCTTCTTTCTCCAAACCAAACCCACATGGAAGACACACACAATGAACTTCGCATCTCAGGCTGATGAATCAAATGAAGCCCCTTCTGGTAGCCATGCCAGATTATATAAGTGTTGCAACACTTACAGTATCTGTCCTCCTTATGCACCTTTATCAACTTGCATTCAGTCTCTAGCAATCTATCTTAATTTGCTCTCCCTTTGTTTTGCTCATATCTTATTCTTTCCTTCCTTCCTGGAAATTTCTAGCAATTCATGTCTGCTTCTTATCTCCTTTCCATGCCTAAAGACCAACTTACACTTTCATGCTAGGGCGGTGTACATCCATAGTTTCAATTTCCCAGATACTATAAAGTACATGTATATCTTTAAATAGAGTAATCTAAGGACATTTACTACAACTGACCAGTATTTTCACAGCAGTTATGTGCCTTATTTGTTGTGATGGTACCAAATTCTCAGATAGTGTAGGGTATGTGGCTGTCTTTCTAAATAGAGCAATTCAAGGCCATTTACTAAAGCTACTCACAGAATAAGTGGGGTTTGAACCCATGGCAGGAAGTCTTAAAACTGACAAACTAGTGATATAACCACTGTACCATGCTGGCCTAATAAGATTTGCCCAAATAGGTGAATTTCTATACACACTAGGAAGGTTAGCATGGGCCCCATGTGACCACAATGCAAAATTTTACAGATGAATCTCACATCAACATGGTTGTGGCAACCTCTGGTGAAAGTTCCATCAAAGCTGTTACTTGCCAGTATTCTTCTAGAGACTTCAAAACTGCTAATAACAGCACTGGCCAGAGTTAGAGAACAACAAAGTGTTGTTAATCAAAGTGTAATTGTACTCCTGGCCTTCTTTTTCCCAACTGTCAGGCATGGGAAATTGTGCTCACATGTTTACAAATCAGCCATATGCAAATGACACTGACACCACATGGTGAGATGCCTGGCACACCTCTGCAAGGACTGCCTGGTGGCTCTAACAGTTTACCATACACTGGGAATATAAGAATGGTATAAAATACTGACAAATAGTTAAGTAAGACACATGTGCAACAATTAGATATCTTTATTCCAAAATGTTTCACCTACACAGTAGGCTTCTTCATTCAAATACAGAGGAGGCAGCAGAAGCAGTGGAAATTTAAAGATGATATAAAAGTCCATCACCCTCGACAAGGGTGATGGACTAATTACATAATCTTTGTACTTCCACTACTTTTGTTGTCACTCCCACTGCTTTTGCTGCAACCACTGTATTTTAATGAAGAATCCTACTATGTAGGCAAAAATGTCTTGGAATAAAGATACCTAATTGTTGCACATCTATCTTACTTCACAATATACGTATTGACAACTAACTCATCTATCAGACAGCATGCAGAATTTATTTTCAACATCAATGCCCTGGCAACTTTAATTGCCCTCCTTGCTAAAAGTTCCCCTATAATGTACTCTCTGTATGCCTTTTTAACAGAAACTAACCTATTGCCTTCACTAACCCTCAACCCTACTAATCCCTAACCTTACAACTTAATCCACCACCCTATGGAAAATTGCAATGCACATAAAAGGCCCCAAGATCTGGAATTTAATACTCAAACCAGCAAAAGGTCTCCTGTCTGCCAATCAATTAAGGACTATAATTAAAAATCACCTCATCTTCCAAACCTAACTATACCAACACTATATTATGCCTGAAATCACAGAACCAGTTTGAAACTCCTCAAAAAATCCCAAATGACTAAAAATCACTATATCAATTTAAAATATCAATACACACTTAAAACTGTACTATTGTAGTTAATGCTAATTGTAATACTCTTTGCTACCTCTCTTATAAATTTTATTATAAAATGTTTAGTAATATTACATAAAAAAAAAGTACCACTCCATAACCTGTATTAGGATTAGTCTGCCCAGAATGCTCATGCACACTAGTGACTTTGTGTTTAACATTATTTTATTACAAGTAAACTACACACTGTATACTGCACAAAGAAATAAAAATTATTTTAATTTAATTTAATTTTATGACTCATAAGCATTCAGCACTTATTTTGAATATACTACTTTAATAATAATACAGTATAAACACATTAAAAAACAGTATCATTACACCCTTATTTAAGACCCGCTTTTATTAAGACAATTCCATTTCTTTCCGTCACACACACTAATAAGTGTATCACCTTCCTCATCAAAGTATACATACTACAGCACTAAAATCAAGACATAAATATACATCACTCAAAATGAGTTCAAAAGATTAGGTAATGGCGTGTGTTGTGTGTGAAATGCTGGAAGCTCAATCCCCCTTGAGGCCTTGGCTCTCTGACCTCTCATATGGGAGTAGAGAGTCACCACCCAGCTGTGACAGGGGTCCTGGTTAATAGTAAACAATGCTTGATTAAATTGTAAAATTTCTCAAACTACAGAAAATCCTTGCCTCACAGCCAACTCAAGTGTTGTTGCAAACTTTGGATCTTGCTGAGTTGTAAGCTCTACAGTTGATCCTCGAAGATGTTCGCATAGCCAAGCAGTAGCACGAGAGGATGGATCAATGAGGAAAGGTCTCAGCCTACACTGTATCAAAGAAAACAAACCCAATCTTTAAACTTTTCTAAAAATGCAAAAATGATTAAAATGTATATCTGAACTGCAATCAAAGTATAATCATTCATTGTTTTAATCTGCATACAAATATCCTTCCTGATAATTCTCCAAAATTTAGTTTATTAAAAATACAAATTATATACCTGGACTATAAAAGTGACACCATTTGGGTGGTAATGCTTAACAAATAATTTGCAATATATAATAAAAAAAACCATTATCATCCTGTTAAATTACAAAATGCAATTAAATTGCAAGAAATTCATTACATATGTATCATCCTTAAGTACCTTAAAACATTAGATCTCTTACAAGCTTAACTCAAAACTGGAAGATAATGTATGCCACTGAAAATCTACAAAATGTGTGGTACATGTGTGTGTGTGTGTGTATAAACAGTGTGATAAATTACACTGATGCATCATACAGAAATGTGATTAAAAATTAACAGCTTGAAAACATAAAATAAATCTCAATTTGTGTAATATTTCCACTTAATTACATATGGGAGAATTATTAAATAAATATGGTTTATTACTAAAGTATTGTCAAAGTTGTAGGTTGGTAGACAGCAACCACCTAGGGAGGTACTACCATCCTGCCAGAATGTGAAACAGAAACCTGTAACTGTTTTATATGATGGTAGGATTGCTGATGTCTTTTTTCTGTCTCATAAACATGCTGGATAACAGGTATATCTTACTACTTCTACTTACATTAAAGTCACACTACACAGGCATGCACATGCATACATATACATACATACATCTAGGTTTTTCTTCTTTTTCTTAATAGCTCTTGTTCTTCTTTATTTCCTCTATTCTCCATGGAAAAGTGGAAAAGGATCTTTCCTCTGTAAGCCATGCGTGTCATATGAGGCGACTAAAATGTTGGGAGCAATGGGCTAGTAACCCCTTCTCCTGTATACATTACTAAAAAGGAGAAGAAAATCTTTTTAAAACTGGGATGCTTGAATGTGCATGGATGTAGTGCAGATGATGATGATTGCTGATGTTATTAATGAAAAGAAGTTGGATGTCCTGGCCCTAAGCGAAACAAAGCTGAAGAGGGTAGGTGAGTTTCAGTGGGGAGAAATAAATGGGATTAAGTCAGGCATATCTGAGAGAGTTAGAAGTTATGGAAGGAGAAGACGGAATATAAATGTATAAATTCAAGGATTATGTGGATTAAAATAAGTGTGTATGCACCTGGAGAAGAAAGGAGTGTAGAGGAGAGAGGAGAGATTTTGAGAGATGTTAAGTGAATGTATAGGAACTTTTGAAACAAGTGAGAGAGTAATTGTGGTAGGGGACCTAAATGCTAAAGTAGGAGAAACATTTAAAGAAGGTGTGGTAGGTAAGTTTGGGGTGCCATGTGTAAATGATAATGAGAGCCCTTTGATTGAACTTTATATAGAAAGGGGTTTAGTTATAGGTAATACATATTTTAAGAATAAGAAGTAAAATAAGTATACAAGATATGATGTAGGGCATAATGACAGTAGTTTGTTGGACTATGTATTGGTAGATAAAAGACTGTTGAGTAGATTTCAGAATGTACATGTTTATAGATGGGCCACAGATATATCAGATCACTTTTTAGTTGTAGCTACAGTGAAAGTAAAAGGTAGATGAGATACAAGGAAAACAGAAGCAGCAAGTAAGAGAGAGGTGAAGGTTTATAAACTAAAAGAGGAGGCAGTTAGGGTAAAATATAAATAACTATTGGAGGATAGATGGGCTAGTGAGAGTAAAGGCAATGGGGTCGAAGATGTATGGGGTAGGTTTAAGAATGTAGTGTTAGAGTGTTCTGCAAAAGTTTGTGGTTACAGGAAAGTGGGTGTGGGAGGGAAGAAGAGCAATTGGTGGAATGATGTAAAGAGAGTAGTAAGGAAGAAAAAGTTAGCATATGAGCGGATTTTACAAAGTAGAAGTGATGCAAGGAGGGAAGAGTATATGGAGAGAAAGAGAGAGGTTAAGAGAGTGGTGAAGCAATGTAAAAAGAGAGCAAATGAGCGAGTGGGTGAGATGTTATCAATAAATTTTGTTGAAAATAATAAAAAGTTTTGGAGTGAGATTAATAAGTTGAGGAAGCCTAGGGAACGAATGGATCTGACAGTTAAAAATAGGAGAGGAGAGTTATTAAATGGAGCATTAGAGGTACTGGGAAGATGGGGGGAATATTTTGAGGAATTTTTAAATGTTGATGAAGATAGGAAAGCTGTGATTTCGTGTATAGGGCAAGGAGGAATAACATCTTATAGGAGTGAGGAAGAACCAGTTGTGAGTATGAGGGAAGTTCGTGAGACAGTGGGTAGAATGAAAGGGGGTAAGGCAGCTGGGATTGATGGGTTTAAAGACAGAATGTTAAAACCAGGTGGGGATTAGTTTTGGAGTGGTTGGTGCTATTATTTAATAAATGTATGGAAGAGGGTAAGGTACCTAGGGATTGGCAGAGAGCATACATAGTTCCTTTGTATAAAGGCAAAGGGGACAAAAGAGAGTGCAAAAATCATAGGGGAATAAGTCTGTTGAGTACACTTGGTAAAGTGTATGGTAGAGTTATTATTGAAAGAATTAAGAGTAAGACAGAGAGTAGGATAGCAGATGAACAAGACTTTTAGGAAAGGTAGGGGGTGTGTAGACCAAGTGTTTACAGTGAAATATATAGGTGAACAGTATTCAGATAAGGGTAAAGAGGTTTTTGTGGCATTTATGGATTTGGAAAAGGTATATCATAGGGTGGATAGGGGGGCAATGTGGCAGATGTTGCAGGTAGTATATCAAATTAAAGTTTATTCTCTATAAGGATTACAATGCAAGGTTTACAGATTTTGGTTATTGTGTGGTTTACATGTAGTAAGATACTAATTACAGAGGGGGCCACTAGAACACCTAGCATGGCTAGGCATTTCGGGCAAACTTAGATTAATTCTTAACCCTAAATTATAACAAATTGTGGAGTAAGTTGACTAAATACTAAGTGACTAAATATTAAGTGACAAATACTAGTTTGTGAGTTTAGCAATGTGAATGCTTTTGTTTTGGTACAATACATAGTTTCTATATTGAAGTATCACAGTATGACTAGTTAGGAATCATTATTTTAAGATTAGGATACATATGGAACAGGAAGTAGGTTACTGAAAGCAGTGAAGAGTTTTAACGAGGATAGTGAGGCTCAGGTTAGAGTATGTAGGAGAGAGGGAGATTACTTCCCAGTAAAAGTAGGCCTTAGACAAGAATGTGTGATGTCACTGTGGTTGTTCAATATATTTATAGATGAGGTTGTAGGAGAAGTGAATGTGCGGGTCTTGGCGAGAGGTGTGGGGCTAAAAGATAAAGAATCTAACACAAAGTGGGAGTTGTCACAGTTGCTCTTTGCTGATGACACTGTGCTTTTGGGAGATTCTGAAGAGAGGTTGCAGAGGTTGGTGGATGAGTTTGGTAGGGTATGTAAAGGAAGAAAATTAAAAGAGAATATAGGAAAGAGTAAGGTGATGAGGATAACAAAATGATTTGGTGACAAAAGATTGGATATCAGATTGGAGGGAGAGAGTATGGAGGAGGTGAATGTATTCAGATACATATTTAGGAGTGAATGTATCAGCAGATGGGTCTATGAAGGATGAGGTGAATCATAGAATTGATGAGGGGAAAAGGGTGAGTGGTGCACTTAGGAGTCTGAGGAGACAAAGAACTTTGTCCATGGAAGCAAAGATGGGAATGTATGAGAGTATAGTTATACCAACACTCTTATATGGGCGTGAAGCATGAGTGGTGAGTATTGTAACAAGGAGAAGGTTGGAGGCAGTGGAGATGTCATGTCTGAGGGCAATATGTGGTGTGAATATAATGCAGAAAATTCATAGTTTGGAAATTAGGAGAAGGTGTGGGATTGCCAAAACTATTATCCAGAGGGATGAGGAGGGGTCGTTGAGGTGGTTCAGACATGTAGAGAGGATGGAACAAAATAGAATGATTTCAAGAGTGTATAAATCTGTAGCGGAGGGAAAGCAGGGTAGGGGTTGGCCTAGGAAAGGTTGGAGGGAGGGGGTAAAGGAGGTTTAGTGCATGAGGGGCTTGGACTTCCAGCAAGCATGCATGAGCGTATTTGATAAGAGTGAATAGAGACAAATGGTTTTTAATACTTGACGAGCTGTTGGAGTGTGAGCAAAGTAACATTTATGAAGGGATTCAGGGAAACCAGCAGGCCAGACTTGAGTACTGGAAATGGGAAGTACAGTGTCTGCACTCTGAAGGAGGGGTGTTGATGTTGCAGTTTTATAACTGTAGTGCAAGCACACCTCTGGCAAGACAGTGATGGAGTGAATGATGATAAAAGTTTTTCTTTTTCGGGTCACCCTGCCTTGGTGGGAATTGGCCGATGTGTTAATAAAAAAAAAATGACACCAATTTTAGCTAATGAGTAGTGACTCACTCCAAGGTCTCTTTCATTATGCTATCGTAGTAACATATTTTAAGAATAAAATAGTCATATTAGTTCATAACCTCATCAGACTGTTGCATTCTTCCTTTAAATTTTCTTAGTAAATCTTAAACGTATAGGCCTAATCAGAGACAGAACTGGGAGACAAGGAATCCCAGAAAAACATCAGTCTGATAGAGCTGTGAGGAAAGGATTCCCAGAACACCATCAGGGTAGGTAGCTTTCCATGTGCTCATATACAGTCTTTTTCTTATCTAAGTCCACTGTTATTCTAGTACAGAAATAAACACAGAAACGGAAGGAAACTGAGATACAGATCAAGAAGTATAGTTTAGTCAATTTGAGACAATTATTTGTATATATACACTATATTAAATGAACATATGTATGCATTTATTTTATAAATAGAATGAGAATGTCTCTTCAGTTGCCTTGGAGGTAACCGGTACTTTTCTTAAGATTCTGTGAAGTGAGCTGTTGCTTCAAACAAGTGACATAATTTAGTCACCTTTAATATATTT